AAATGGAGAGGGAGGATGGAAGGAAGGAAGGAAGGAAATGGAGAGGGAGGATGGAAGGAAGGAAGGAGAGAAAATGGGGCGGGAGGAAAGAAGGAAGGAAGAAAAATAGGGAGGGAGTATGGAAGGAAGGAAGGAGAAAATGGCGAGGAGGGAAGGAAGGAGAGAAAATGGGGAGGAAGGAAGGAAAAGGGGAGATTGGGGAGGGAGGAAGGAAGGAGGAAAAGAGGGAGGAAGGAAGGAAGGAAGGTGCTCTCTCAGCTGGGTGGTTTCCTTGCAGACGTTTCGTGACCCAACTAGGGAACATCATCCGTGCTAGAAGGGAGAGGGGTTTGTGAGGAGGAGGAGGAGGAGCAGGAAGAGGAGTGTAGGGGACGGAGGAGGAGGAGGAGGACTGTGGGGTCCTTCATGCTGAGTTGGGTTATTTGCAGGCATTTCTTGATCCAACTAGGGAACCTCATCCGTGCTAGAAAGGAATGGGATTTGTGGGGGAGGGGAGGAAGAGGAGGAGGAAGAGGAGGAGGAAGGAGAAGGCCGGGGGTGGGTGGGTGGGGGGGGAGAGACTGACATCTTTCTCTCGTTTCCTCTCCTCCCCCCTCCTCCCCCCAGTGATATGACCACCTTGGCGGCGGCGGCCTACCAGCAGGGGATGGCTGTGCACGCTGGGGCCCACATCCTCAACATGCAAGGTGGGTGTCTTTGGGGGAGGGGCAGGGACTCCATTGGGGGTGGGGTGGGGGCTGAGATCCAGGCTCAGGGTGGGGGGGAGGGCATCGGTGGGGTCTGCAGCCCCAGAGAAACAGATGGAAAGAGAGAGAGAGGGAGGAGGAGGATTGGACTATTCCTTTCTCTGCCCCATCCCACCCCCCAGATTTTTTTTTATTTAAAAGGGGAGTCCTCGGCTTACGACCAAACCCCAGATTTCCGTCGCTAAAACGCGAGCTGTTCAATGAATTTTCCTCCCTTTTTTTAAAAAAAAAAAACCCCGTAGTTAAGCAAATCGCTGCCATTCTTCAGTGAGCCCCCCCCCCCCCCCACTGACTTCACTCATTAAAAGGTCGCAAAACGGGACGCTGCGACCCTCACCAGTACGATTCGGTTGCCCTGTCGGCCGTCGCCTCTAGGAGCCCGTTGTCTGCATTTGAGTCTTTGGGGGACGTGTGAAAAGGGCCGTAATTTTTTTTTTTATGGTGGTCGCTAAAGGAACCGCTGTTAAGTCGGAGGCTTACCCCTGCAGGGATCCTCCTCGACTTACGACCGCCCTCGAGCCCCCCCCCCCCATTTCGGTTGTTAAATGAAACGCCTTTTTTGGGGGATTTCCCCCCCCCCCCCCCCATTTTACACCCCTTCTTGCCGCCGTTGCTAAGTGAATCACAGCAGCGGCTCACGGTCCTTAAGTGAATCCAGGTCACCAAAGGGGATTCCCCCCCCAAGGGCACACTGCAACGGTCATAAATAGGAGCCAGGGGTGATCCTGCAAGTGGTCGTAAGCACGGGGAAAACAGTCCGAAGTCCCCCTTTTGTTTCAGGGCCGTTGCAACTTTGGACGACCACTAAACGAAATGGTCATAAATCAAGGACTGCCTTTATTCTGGGGGGGGGGGGAGTGTGTGACTCCTTTTAGCATAAGTTGATGAGCCGCCCAAACCGGCTTTAGGATTGCAAGGCAGGCAGCAATTCATATTAGGATCGGTGGGCGTTTTCTCCACAGGGAGCCCAAGCGGGCACAACAGAGCGACCACCCTCATCCCGGCTGACCGTGTCAAACAGATGTTCGGGCCGCCGGTTATCACGGTAAAGACCCCAACGGTGGGAAAATCAAATGGGGGGTGTTTTACTCAAAAGCTGGGAGGGTTGGCTCTCAGCCAGCTTGTAGTGTTAGGATTCCGGCAGTCGCCCATAATTAAATCCTGAGTCTCGAGCCAAAACTTCCAAAAAGGATTTATTCGGCATTAACATGTCCGGCACTGCCTGGGTGAACTTGACTCTGAGTAACATTATTCATTGTCACCCTTGACCCTGGTTTCCCCCGTCACCCCACCCCCTGCGTCTGTCACAAATCGCATTTTCCAACAAGACCCATCCATAGCCAAGCGTCATCAATCACATTCTCCAACTAGAATTTTGCTCGGCAGAAACTTCGGTCACCTGGTTACTATCTTTGTAAAGCCATTGATGGAGTGTGCTTTCGATTTGCATTGATCTCCCCCCTCCCCGCCCAATCAGTTGGCCACTCGAAAAAGACCCGAGAAATATTTTAGGAGTTGACATTCGGCTCCCCTCACTTCTTTGAAGGCGACCTGTAGAACACAAAAAGAAAACTTAAGTGGCAGTTGGTAGAAATGGCCCTAGGTCACTTTTTTAAACACTTCGAGCGGGCACTAAACAAATAAATATTTTAGGGGTTGACATTCGGCTCCCCTCAC